CATGCTGGCTCGTCCACCAACACTTTGAACGCTTCCTTATCGGCGCCGACCCCCGAAACACCAACCACCTTTTCGAGCAAATGTACCGTGCCTCCATGTTCTACGGCCGCAAAGGTCTCCCCGTCGCCGTCATATCGGTCATCGACCTCGCCCTCTGGGACCTCCTTGGCAAGATACGCAACGAGCCCGTCTACAAGATGATCGGCGGCGCCATCAAGGAGCGTCTCAACTTCTACTGCACCGGTCCCGATCCGCCGGCCGCCAAGGAGATGGGCTTCTGGGGTGCCAAGGTGCCGCTCCCCTACTGCCCGGAGGAAGGGCACGTCGGCCTGCAAAAGAATATTGAGTTCCTCCGCAAGCACCGCGAGGCCGTCGGCCCGGACTTCCCCCTGATGGTGGACTGCTACATGTCGCTCAACGTGTCGTACACGATCGAGATTGTGGAGAAGACCAAGGACCTCAACATTAACTGGTGGGAGGAGTGTCTGTCCCCCGATGACACGGACGGCTTCGAGCAGATCAAGCGCGCCCACCCCACGGTCAAGTTCACCACGGGTGAGCACGAGTACTCCCGCTACGGGTTCCGCAAGCTCATCGAGGGCAGGAACCTGGATATCATCCAGCCGGATGTGATGTGGCTCGGCGGCATGACCGAGTTGCTCCGCGTGGCTGCCATGGCGGCCGCCTACGACATGCCCGTTGTCCCACATGCTAGTGGACCGTATAGCTACCACTTTGTTATGAGCCAGCCAAACACGCCGTTCCAGGAGTATTTGGCCAACTCGGCAGACGGAAAGAGCGTGCTGCCGGTGTTTGGCGATCTGTTCTTGGATGAGCCGATCCCGACCAAGGGATTCTTGACGACGGCTGATTTGAATAAGCCAGGCTTTGGCTTGACGCTTAATCCCGTGGCGAGGGTGAGGTTGATTCCTAGTGCCTATTTGCTCACACCACCACCTGCGGCATCTTTGACGTCTGCGGGTGCTCAATCAGATGTGACGGGTGCTGAAGAGACAAAGCCGGCGCCGGCGCCGGGGGTGACGGAGGAGAAGAAGGAGAAGAAGGAGAAGCGCGAGGGGGTGGTTGAAGGGCTGGTGGCCAAGGTTCAGGAGCTGACAAGCTCGTAGGATTTGCAGAAGACTACATTAGGTTGGCGTTTCTCAAATTATATACCATTGATACGAACAATGACTGATTTCGTTTGCACTTTGAAACATGTGAAGCTGTAACAATTTGATTACCTTACATATGTTTTGCACTCGGGGCATAGCACTGACGTCATCGTGAGAACCTTTATGGCAAGCTTTGATGTTCGGAACTCGCACCCATCACCAATCGCAAATATCCATTGATCGTCAACATTGGACGATTGTGGAAACAACCTATAAAGAAGTTTCAGAGCCTGGATGAAGAGCTCATCCCTCCAATACCAACGAGCGAGGAGCAATTGCCGACAATGGCACACGGATTGACCTCGCCAATCTCGCTGTAATTCCCCCCGAGCTGCAGTGGGGTAAGGGAAGCTGTGACCCCGTTCATAGGTAATGGGTCAAGTTGGGGTTGAGATCCACTTTATTCTTGCTTCTTCAACTTTCAAACTCTTTTGACACAACGATCCGCTCTTCAGCCTGCGATGACTTCCAGTCGGACTAAGTGAATGGATAACCTCCCGATATTAACAGACTTTACTGGTGATCAGATGATGTAGAAAATCGATAGACATTCGCTAATATTGAAAGGTTTCGGTGCGGAGAAGAAACACAATCGCTCAACACCATCTTTTCTTGACCACCAGTTGAAGTGACTTTAACAATTTCTCCATTCTCGTTTTCTAGCTTACCCACCATCAAGCCACACCTACGTCCACACGAAAGGTTTCGAGGAATTCAGACTATTCCTACAAACCCTGATCCAAACCGACATCGATACCTCCCAACACATCAATCAAGCCACAACCCTCCTCAAAATGCCACCAACCAACCTCCTCTCCAACAAAACCGCAATCATAACCGGCGGCACAACCGGCATCGGCCGCGCCATCACCCTCGCCTTCCTCGCCCAAGGCTGTTCCGTAGCCGTCAACCACCTCAACCTCCCCCGCGACCAACCGCACGTCGACTCCCTCATCGCCGAAGCCGCCTCTCTCAAATCCCAACATGCTTCCTCTCCGCACATAACTATTGGCGCCCTGGCCCTGCTGCCGGGGGACGTGCGCGACCCTGAAACGGGGACGAAGCTGGTTGAATTTGCGCTGGACACGTTCAAAACCGGCCGACTTGACATCTGCGTCTCCAACGCGGGCATCTGCCAATTTGCCGAGTTCCTCGACATGGACGGCGACCTGTTCGCAAATACCGTGCGCACCAACCTCGACGGCGCCTTCTACCTGGTCCAAGCCGCCGCCCGGCAGATGGCGCGCCACCAATCTCCCCCCGGCGGCTCCATCATAGGCATCAGCTCCATCTCCGCTCTCGTCGGCGGGGCCGGGCAGACACATTACACGCCCACCAAAGCCGGCGTCTTATCCCTGATGCAAAGCACGGCGTGCGCGCTGGGGAGGTACGGGATAAGGTGTAACGCTCTATTGCCGGGGACGGTGGAGACACAGCTGAATGAGAGTGACTTGAGACCCGAGAGTGAGGAGGGAGGGACGAGGGAGACGGAGGAGAAGAGGAGGTATATGGAGGGACGGATACCGCTTGGGAGGTTGGGAAGGCCAAGGGATCTGGGCGGGCCGGCGGTGTTTTTGGCGAGTGACGAGTTGAGTGGCTATGTTACGGGCGCGCAGGTGTTGGTTGATGGGGGGTTGTTTGTTAATTTGCAGTGAGAGAGGGGGTGATGTTCTTGTCCGGGGGGGTGTTCTGAAGGACGGCAAGACTCGGATGGATGTGGCCCGGGCCTTGTGGTAAGATGATGACATGCGAGTTGTTTCGCTGTTGATTGCGGCTCTTGTGTTCTGAAAACATAAACCCAACACCAGTCATCCATGGCAAGAAAATGATTACTCCAACCCGACCCTACTAGTCTCCACATGTGCTCCCCGATCGTAATCACTCGGGTCATAACCCTCTGTTCCTCCTCCTGCTCCCACAGACGCCGATGCCGAGGAACTGCTTCGCTCCTTTGAATGACCCTGACCGCCCTCTGCTACATAGTTCGCTTCTGTGTCTGCAAGTATCTGGTCAGCATCTATCCGTCCCAAGCACACATCCTGTGTAGGTAGTTTGACTAACCGCTACCTTCCTTGGTAGAGGTACCGCCCTCCTGTTCCCGACTACTCTCTCTTTGCTTCCTTTTGTCTTTGATTTCTTCGGGTTGAGCCTCCCTAAAAATAATCGGACTCTCCACCTGCCCTTCTAGCGCTGCCACCACTTGTTTCGGCGGCTTCGGCCTATTAATCCCCCCATACTCATGACTACCCTCATACCCCTTTCCCTGCTCCCACTGCTCTTGCTCCCGCTGCATCTGTTGCATCTGCCTCAGTACTTCCGCTTCTGAGGTAATTCCTGGGCAGGAATCCCATTCGTGGTGGTTGTGGTGGTGGTGGTCTTGGGCTCGTTGATGATAAAGGTGGGGTTTGGTTGATGCGGCTTCCATGGCGGAGGGTGAGAAGATGTCGCTGGGTTTTGAGGGTTCGGGGTGTTGGTCTGATGGTTGCGATTGGAGGGTTTCGTTGGCGTTGGAGCTGCTGTCGATGACTTCTTGGACTTGGGAGTCGGTGAGTTGGTCGGCTATTACACCGCGGCGGGCTAACATTTTGATGGGTTTGGTGGTGGTGGTGGTGGATTGTATTGGTGCTGATGGGTGATTAGTTGAAGGTGGATGATGTCGCTTTGGAATAAAATTGGCTTATGGTAGTATATCTGGTGAAATGCCGTACCAAGAAATCAATCCCTAAAAAAAGGGCACACGGATTATATATATCTATTAAAAAAAAAAAAAAAGAAGTCGGCCTGGTCTAGACTGCCGGGCTCCATGCTCGATAGCAGATAACGGTTGATGTCATTCTGATGCCGGGATTCACATGCGATTCCCTGTCGTCCCCATCACAACGGTCCCCGTTCGACTCCCTTGACGGCCGGGACGTACCAGACAAGTGATAACACTCCATGAACCTATCAGCTTGTTAGCTGGCACACCATTTGAAGCCAAAGCGGATCGAGCGCGTCATTCATCGAGGGTTTGGTAGTGTAGATAGTCCTGGTTGTAAATCATTTTGGGGCGTTGAAGTCTTGGCTCTGGGGTTCGTGGAGACCGAAATGCAAAACGGGAGAAGATCAGGTGGATCCGGGGGTCATGGGATTTTTGGGTTTTCCATGGGAATCAAGAAATGGCCTTCAGAAAAAAAAAAGGGTTGAAGGACAATGTACGTAGTCTTCGTCTGCTCACATATGGTTGTCCGACGGCCATTTCCGACTGGCACGTTGTTACTTTGGTTCGAGTCCTACTGGTTCCCAGGTCTTCGTTTTCTGTCAGTCATGAGGACCGCAGTCTATCTTCTGTCCCCCGAGATCTCGCCCGGACCAGCGGCAACGCGCTGGAGGACCATATCGACTAAGAGCCTTTGGCTGCGAATTCCAGCAAAATCGCATTGCGCCGTCGCAGATTCAGCATCGTCCCGGGTTTCCAAAAGCCACGGTCGGGGACTTCATCGATTTTTTGGGGCCTGGTCCCGCGATGGGATGGCGGGCACCTTCCGTACGTCATCGTGGAGCGCACTATCTCGACGCCAAGGGATAACCCAGGCATTGACAGGGTAAAGCATATACAAGAGCAAAACTGTTTGCGACCAAAGAGTTTGAAGGGGTGGACTTGGGATTTGAGAAATACGTCATGGTGAACGGATAGGAGTTCATGGCGGAAACCCTCCCGCGACAGGAGGGGTGAAGGAAGAAAATGCGGCAGTGATGGATCAAGGTGCAAACAACAATTTGCTTTTCGCTAATTGGTGGCCCGATATAAGAGCCTTAAACAAACCCATATTTCAACACATTATAACAGGCTCAATGGTCTAGTGGTATGATTCGCGCTTCGGGATAAACCCTCATGGTCACACATGAAATGTGCGAGGTCCCGGGTTCAAATCCCGGTTGAGCCCAATCTTTTTACTTGTTTTTTCTATCTTCGCCCAGCTTGCCCCTAAACCTCTCAGCTCTTTACTCTCCAAATTTTCTTATACCTTTTGTGGTCAATCTTGTCTTTTTTTTTTTTTTTTTTTTTTTTTTTTTTTTTTTTTTTTTTTTTTTTTTTTGGTTTTACCCTCCTTCTCGTCAAGATGTGGCAGACAATAAGCTTGGCCGTCATGACATTCTCGTGATGTTCCAGGTATGCGAGGGCTTGGCGGCAGGTCGCAGGCGTATTGGGTGTGCGAGACAATCGCGACACCAATTTGCGTTGGGCTGCAAGGTCAAGAGGCATTGTGTGCTTGTTTCTGTGAGGCTTCAAGGCCGCAGATCTGGCGACCGATATATGGTAAGCGGATCAGCTGGTCCTATTCCAAGCAACCGAAAGGATAGTGTGCCAAGTATTTTGGGGTGCCGAAAAAGGCTTCTTTCTAGGTCTCGAAGTCCATCTCCACGTTTTATCCAAAAACCCCTGCGCAAACAACCGTTTATTTTGGCTACTGAGCTACTATAACTAGTCAACCCTGTTCCTGGAAAAGTGCTTGGTTAACACAGGATGTTCTTAGGAATCGATTAACCGTTAGCCGGTTTTGCTATACTCCCAACCCTTTTGGTGGTCCAGTCTAATAAGGAAGGGCGTTTGACATTCTCACCTTCAAACACTAGAACTATGTACTCGATGACCTGCTTGTTGCAAGATGTACGTATCTAGCGATTCTACTATAGCTGAATGCTGGAAAGTTCTAATAGTTCGGAGCTATATTCATGTCTCCATGAAATCTTACCGTGGATATGATCCTAGAAGCAATTGAGCCGCAATGACACACTCGGAGTAGGAACTGTTGTACGTTAGAGCTAGTATACTAGGTGTATTTGTTGTCTGTTATATGTGCATGCTTTGCCACGTTCAAATGTTCCACCGCAAGAAGTTTGAAGGTATGTTTGTCCCTTTCTTTTTTCGAGTGTCCAATGTCTATGCTGGTCCAGGTCGAGTGGGGATATTTTAATTCGCTGAGCAAGTGCTTAACAAGCTTGTAGAAATCGTCAATGTCCGATTCACCAGCAAGAACGTCAAAGGCATACTATCCGTCGGCCGAATGGGTCCAGTATTTCAGGGACCGTTGCAGGAGTTGTGGCGTCGCATCACTTTGTGCTGTGTTGCCAGAATCTGCTATCTCTTTGGATGGTCAGCGACTTGTAGTAGGTGAGCGTAGTCGAGGAGGTAAAGAGTGGAAGACCTTGTAATGGACGGCAGGTGTTCGGAACCAACTGAGATGTCCAAACTTATGAACAAGGGAGCTTACCTGGCTCAGTCGACATGAAGATAAGAAGGATCGGAATGTCTTCGCAGATGGTTGCTAAAGGCCTAATTTCTAGGACTGTGGTTGAAGGATATTTCGTGATGACGCTTTCCCAGAGCCTACACTCGGCACCACCGATCTAGCAAGATAACCCAGCCAACTATCCCAGGCGGCGTCCTGATAATCCCGTTTAACCAACTCACACATCCGCGCCATCCATCGACTTCTGACAGCAAAAAAGAGGACACTTGACATCATGACACATTAACCCGTTATCACTCTTGATGCCTACCCCAAGGCTTGACGAACCTAAGGATTCCGGCTCTCTAGCTCATATCCCTGCGGCTGACCATCATGCACCCGCGCATCATAATACGTCGGCTTAGGATTGGTGTCCGTTCGTTGGTTAGAGATGAGCGTCGTTACCGTTGTCGTCGTCGTCGTCGTCGTCGTCGTTTCTTTGTTCTCGGGTCGTGATGAAGGGAGCACACGTGAACTGAAGTTTAGTACTCGCGACGGACTCCAGAGGGACAGAAAAGCAAGAAGATCAGACTAGAGGCCACAAGACGGAAAACTCGGCGATGATCACCATGTGATACAGACGGAATGGAGACGAATAACGCGAAAACGCGGGGGGTCGCTACTTATCTCAACTCAACCACTACAACCAAACTACTTGACATTACTTCTATTCTCCTATCAACGTTCAAACTCATAATGGGAGAGAGAGCCCAACCGCCAGCAAAGCGGGTGTCGATATCGGAAGAATACAAGGTTGTAGGTTCCTGATATAAAAGTGGAAACTGCTCCTCGTTCAGCAAGATCTGCCGTAGTACCCTACGTAGAACCGCCCCAGCGGTAACGTAACTTTACTCCTCTTTTCATCCAAAACGGGAGTTGCTCCTCCAGGGGCAGTACGACGGTGGCACAGATGAATGGCTGCTGATGCAATGAGGGAAAGATCAGATCGTATCTCCCGGATCGTAGGGCTAACGAGAATAGGGGTAGTAGGATCGTGGCTTTGTGTCGAGGTAACTAAGTGGAAACTTCAATATGATGGTCCAATAAGTCATCACGGAGGCTCAAAAGGTACAACCTGTCAAAAAATCGACCTTGATATTCCTGTTGTTAACCCTTGGCACCTTGCTAACGGCCTTCCAATATGTTCCTGCATATGACCATCTTCGTAATTCGTAAGCCCGTAATCCCGGTGAATCCCACGAGTAAAGCACCTTAATAGAAGGCAGGCCAGCTACCAGCTTCACGTAGCAGGGACCAAAGTGGCCTTGCCTTCACCCGTTCCTCTTGCCTTTACTCGAACCGATCATTATCAGCATACCCAAAAGCCAACCCCAGCACCCACCCATCCGCCTCCCTCTCTCCCTTGGGGTTAACCCCTCCCCAAAGCACCACTCCCTTCCCCTCCAAGCACCCCGACGCCGCCAACAACCCTCTCGGGCCAGGATGGACTTTCCCCTCCTCCGCTTCCGTCTTCTGTTCAGTGGCCACCAGCTCCGCCTCCGCCCAGCTGAACTTGCCCGACTCAATCCCCTTCGGCATCAGCTTATCCCGGATCACGTCCTTGGCCGCAGCAGCGGTATACCCATGCGACGGCAGCTGGAGCGACCAGATGTCGGCGTAGTACTTCTCTTCTTCCGGTGAAGCCTCGTTGGACTCACCGACGGCGTCCGAGGAAATGCCGAACATGTAAATCAGGTAGGAACGCCCGTAGCCGGTGGTTATGGGCACTAAAGCTCCGCCGACGCGCGGCCGCGGACCGGGTGTCAGCGGGTTGATAGGGTACGTGATGGATTGCCAGGTAAGCGCGCCGGGCTTCTCGCGGTCCACGGTGGACTTGAGCAAGTCGAGGTAGTTGATGGTGCCGCTGAGGTTGGGCGAGTCCGGGCTGGTGCTGATGGTGTAGAGCGCCGTGTCGGTGTAGGCGGCGGCGAGCGGTGGGGAGGGTGATCTGGGCAGGGTGGTCCAGGCGCTGCGGTCGAAGCTGTAGAGCCATGTCTCTGTCTCAGGCTGGTTACCGCCTGAGCTTGAGGTGTGGCCTCCGTGGAGGATCAGAAACTTCTGCTTCTCGTCGGCAAAGATGTGGTGGCCGTAGCGGGGCGCCAGCTTCACACCGAGCTGTGTCTGCCCCTGCAGCTTGGTCCATTTCATGTGCTCCGTCTCCCAGAGCCAGAGACAGTTGTCTTCCTCTATCGAATTGCCGTGCTCGTCACATCCGCCGTGGATGACGACCGAGTTCCCCCAAGCACACGCGGCATGTTTAGTACGAGGCGCGGGTATGTATGTCTCGCCGGTCTTTGCATCGATCAAGGGGAACGCCGGGTAGTGATCGTGGAGCTTCTCGGCACCGGTATTGTCTTTGCTCGGGAGCAGAATGGCGTGGACATCGCTGTTGCAAAGCTTGCCATCGACATCTTCGCCGCCAAAGATGTAGGCTTTGTTACCGATGGTGGTGATGGTATGGTTGGATCTGGCAAGGGCTCGCCTGTGGGAGTGCGGTACGATTAGCAGATGCTTCCTTGGGTAGGCAGTGGGCTATGACCGGAATGAAGAGAGCGAGACAGCATACACAGTGTCTTCTGACGTTGCCCTCGCTAGCTGTGTAAGGGACACCTTCAGAGGCTGTGTTGGAGCGGCGACGGCGACTACGGCTCCGACTTCGACGCCTGTTGCAACGATCTGCTCTGCAACCAGAGCTCCAGCAGCAACTTCGGCCATTGTGTGAGGATGCGGGTAAGATGATGGTTTGCGAGATTCAAAATCAGTTTTTCTCTTGAGAAACCGTAGCAGAACAAGAAGATACGGAACTCAAGCTAGCTTTGAGAGATAGGGGGCTTTGGTCAAAAAGGTATCACCAGAGATTTGTTTGTAGATGATGGAAGCCGTTTTGTTTATTTTCTTACACAGAAGGGAATTAGACGAATGCCTATGACGTCAGGTGGGGTAATTGTAAACGCTTATCACCCTTATTTACCCCTGACTAAAGCCCTATGAGCCCAAGTTAAGGTTGTCACTACTAACAAGTGCTCACAATTTACAGGGAGTATAAGGTAGCGTTGGAGAAAGACGGGACTGAGAGGGAAAAGGTTGAGAAAAGAAAATATAGTTACTTCGCTGGGAAACCGCTGATGAAAACCCAGATTTCGCTTGAGATAGATATGCTCGGGTCGCTATTTGTTAGTATACTCGCTGAGATTCGCTGTAGATTAGTATCTTTTCTCGATGTTCGCTCGTTCGCTAGGGTCAAGGATATTCGCTACCTAGATGTTCGCTGTAGATAAGTAGTTGTACTTATCTTCGCTATGTTATGTTGAGGTGTGAATTCACCATGGGAGAGTGCCTAGGACTTGACTCTCCCATAGCTCGAAAATTGGGACAAGGGCCAACGCGTGAGCCGCTCAGCCACTAGACCATCTCTGGCTATTGGTACGGACTTGACACGGACACTAATCCTATATAGGAATAGACATTTCCAAAATCCTTGGATGAAAAAGTATCTCAACACGATGATTGGCCAATATCAGTGCACAAATTGTAAAAGGCATTCATTACTCGTATTACATTATCCTCACCACTATGGAAGGAGCAAACATCTCGGGTATAATCTCATCAAACATCAAAAAACGTCATGACACGATGCCCAATCCTGCACCGTT